GGGGGGGGGGGGGGGGGGGGGGGGGGGGGGGGGGAAGGTGAGGGAATGGAAATGGATCATGTCAATGACCTATCTACTCCAGTGCCCCTTTCTTCCAGTCAATCAGCTACGTTCTTTTCTATCTCTTTTTTTTTCTTTTTTTCTTTTTTTTGGTTTAGCAACCGTGGGGGTTGCCACAGGAGTTGGTAGGAGCATCCCCCTGTGATACTCCCCTCAGATGGCACCCCCCTCAATCTATTGGTGGGGAGCTCCAACTGCCGGTCCAGCGTCTTATTTGTCAATACAGAATTATAGAGCATCATCAACTTGTCCATTTTGTGTTAGCCTGCTAATGCTACTGAAACTATATGCTGGGAACCGGGCACACTAGGGCCGACTGGAAGCAGGGGCAAGATCACCATGCAGTGTCGGGTCTCAGCAGGGTAGTGCCCCATGTAGGCCCAGCCCCCCAGTCAATCAGCTACCAATTCAAGCACCACATTCATTCAGCTAGTCGCCTGAATGTGCGTACTAAATTATGCATAGCTACTTATGCAAGCGCCACTATCATTCACCTGGCCACCTGAATGTGGGTACTAAATAGCTATCTATTTAAGCGCCACAATCATTCAGCTAGCCGCCTGACAGTGCGTACTAAACTATGCATAGCTACTTATTCAAGCGCCACATTCATTCACCTAGCCTCCTGAATGTCGTCTTGACCGTTGCATTGTTCATTTTATTATTAGGTGAAAGATATTTTGGACCGCACTCGGCCACAGTGCCACATACTCCTGCATTGTACAGCGAGCATGAGCGAGGTGTCTGACCACGTTCACTGATTGCATCATCGTGGAAGAAGTGATTTATTCTTCCCAGAGTGTGACATAAATGTTCTATTGAATTTAATTTCTCTCTTACAGCTGAACGCTGCGACCTACAAGTAAGAAATACATGAATCATTTATTAATTCGTAACCAAATTAAACGAATGTTTTAGAAACGAATAGTGTCAAATAGCATAAAAGATTAAAAATATTCAATCAATCAGTAGTACATAAACAAACTTAACTAATTAATTAGTTAATTAACTAGTATCTACAGGTACAGTTCGTAAACGCTCCAAAAAAAAAAAAAAGACAAAAAAATAGAAATAGAAAAAATGACAAAAACATGTATGCAATTCGCAAAAGTGCAGTGATCATGTCGCTGCAGTTGCTGAATACAGTGAAAAGCACAGAAGCAAACTAAATTAATTAATCAAGTACATGTTCAGTTCATAAACGCACAAAAAAATAAATAAAGAGTCTTTCGGGACATCCGTTAAAATTGGTTACAGAGAAAAAAAGGAACTTGACAAATAATTTGCATCAGCATGGGATGACCCGCATGATCCAAATTTTCTTTTTAAAAAGAAAAAAAAAAAGGAAATTGACAAATAATTTGAAATAAACGAATATATGCCATTCGCAAAAGTAGATGACGTGGTTTAACTTTTCATGGTTCTATGATCATGTCATTGCAGCTGCTGCAACGAGCTAAATGCGGGCTACGCGGCAGACGGTTACGCACGTGCCAGAAGTGTGGCTGCTATGTGTACGACTTTCAACGTAGGGAGTCTCAGCGCCCTTAACGCTGTGGCGGGAGCATACGCGCACGACCTGCCGCTCATCTGCATCGTTGGGAATCCAAGCAGTGCGCAGATTGGTGAGTGCCCGACCTCCACCCTCAGTAGCTTGTGCATGCATGTATGGGGATATCGGATTATCTGCATCCTTACGTACAAGTCGAAGTACGGATCCCGTAGCTTGTGCATGCATGTATCGGGATATCGGATTATCTGCATCCTTACGTACAAGTAGAAGTACGGATCCCGTAGCTTGTGCATGCATGTATGGGGATATCGGATTATCTGCATCCTTACGTACATTGTCAAGTCGCAGTACGGATCCCGCTGCAATCTGCATGGACGAACATACTATGTACAAAATTCGAAATTAACTGTCATATAAATGATATATAATAAGATAGGGGTAAGTACGTTCATGTGTCCTTTATCGAATGGCAAAAAAAAAAACACGCATAGGCAATGAAAACCGCGCGGAGTTCGAAAAGGCAACGGATGTACCAACTGCCGTGGTGCCAGACGGGGTGTCATATTTGTTTACAGGGGTCGGCCGTGGGGTCAGAGGGGAGAAGATATAAAAAAAGAAAATGGCCAAAGGGTACTTTTTTTGGACCAAAATCGCTCATTTGGAGTTGGCAGGTGGTTTCTTTGCCGATGTGAGTTTTTTGTGCCTTCAGAGTTTCAAAACATGCTGCATCCGCCGTTGTTTAAACATGCCGCGTCCGCCTTTGTTTTAATAAATGTAATATAATATATAGTTTGATATACCAGTTCGGCCAGCTCCCACCCTTTGTATTTTTTGACTTGTACGTAGTGACACTGATAAGCCGGGGCCGCCGAACTGGTATATATGTTATATCATATCATTTATATGTCGGTTAATTTTGCGTTTGGAGAACCTTGTACGCAGTATGTTTCGTCCATTATGATACTGATTGCAGTATGTTTCGTCCATTATGATACTGATTGCAGTGGGATCTGTACTCAGCACTGTCAGCAGTATATGCATCTGTTTCTTTTTCTTCTCTTTTCTTTTCTTTTTGTGTATGCATTTCCCTTTGAAGGGAAGGGATTTTTTTGTTTTGTTTCGTTTTCAAGGGAAGGGATGGAGTACACGTTGGAGGGAAACTGATGAATCTATGACGAAAGTTCCCTGCAGTTGAGCCATTAGTTTGCCACGGGATGGAGTACACGTTGGAGGGAAACTGATGAATGTACGACGAACGTTCCCTGAAGTTGAGGCGTTAGTTTGCCACGGTGAGCTGTACCTACCTGTATGCAGCAGGACTAATGCCTTCCTTCGAATAGAATGCCCGTCGCCCGGTCGTCTAAGGTGGTGCATTTCGGGTAGCTTTCCGTATAGATACATCCTGCATTCAGCGATCATAGGGGCTCGCAACACAGCCTTTCTTTTTTTTTCTTTTTCTTTTTTTGCAACACAGCTTTTCGGAGGCCACACATAAAGCAAAAAAAAAGAATAACAAAAGAAAACAAAAAACTGCGGCAACTTGTACCGGGTTCAGGGTAGGGACCTTGACAGATTGGCCTGAAGAAGGCCATTTTTCGAAACACCGGGAGAGGGCTTTTGAGAAGAGGGCCGTGACAGGCGGGAGGGGCATTCCACTTCGAAAGCCCTTTTGCGGGAGGGGCATTCACTTCGAAAGCCCTTTTGCAGGAGGGGCATTCACTTCGAAAGCCCTTTTGCGGGAGGGGCATTCCACTTCGAAAGTCCTTTTGGACGGGGTTCCTCTGGCAACTTTCGAGACCATTTCTTGAAATCGGGTTTCGAAAGACTGTGTGGCCACCTTTTATTGAGCTTCAAGTTCGTTTTTTGACAAGTTCAATTTTTGAGAAGTTTTACTTCTGTTGAGAGTAGAGGGGTCCTGGGACGCTGGATCCGGTTTCCAGCAAGGTTCTTGGTGACTCCGGGTTGAATTGTGAGGTCCCCGGCCTCAGCCATTTTTTTTGGAATATAAAGTGACAACTTCTAAAAAAAAAAAAAAAAAAAAAAAAAAAAAAGAGAAAGACTGTGTGGCCACGAGGGCACCTCCACCTCCATTTCCCTCGTTTCGAAAGGCTGTGTGGTGAGCCCCATAATGAAGAAGCTGTCTATTCGTGTGAGAAGGGTACCCACCGTGGGTGATGAATGTATGCAAGCTGTATTTCCGGTAAGGTACAGCCAAAATGAGGGTGCGTCCGGTTGGGGGGAAGACGGTAGGAGTTCGCTTTTTTCTTCTTTTCCTTCCTTCGGACGAATAAGAGGCTCGCCACACAGACTGTCGAAAATGCCGTTTTTGACAGTATTACATAGCCACACCAACTTTCGAAGATGGGCTACTAAAAAAACTTGGACAGGTGTCAGAATTCGACCATCGTCAGCCGCCCGCGGGCATTTGTTTCCTCCCGCCTGCAGCAGCTGAATCTCGTTCGAAAAAAGCACAAGAACTTCCATTGTCAGAGCCTCAACCCTGACAGCCGTGCCCGCTTTGTCGCTGTGGTCAACAGAGGCTGTCGAAAACCGGTTCCACCGGGTCGCTCCGTGCCACTCCCAGTGAGGAAACTGTGCGTTTTCTATTTGCACACGAAGAGCAATCCTTGAGTTTCGACAGCCTGTGTGGCGAAGGGGGGGTAAACTGTCGACCGCCGACTTTCGAATTTTTTCTGACACTTGTCGAAACTTTGAGTTTCGACAGCCTGTGTGGCCAGCCTCTAAGGGGCTCAGCACACAGCCTTTCGAAACATGGAAAATCCAACCACAACTGATTCAGCACACAGCCTTTCGAAACATGGAAAATCTACACCACAACTGATTTCAACAAAGGGGCTTGCCAGACAGGCTTTTGAATGAAGGCAATTTTTGAAAGGTGTCAGACTTTTTTAGAAAGTTTGCTCGTCGAAAGGAACCCCCCCCTTCGGCACACAGACTTTCGAAACACCCACGCCTTTCGATATATGCACATTAGGGCCTGGCTCCACTGCTCACTACGCGTGTAAAATGAGAGTCTGAATCTTTGCCCTCGAACATGGAAAGATACTTTCGCCATAGTTTTGTCGTTTGTGCATGTCGAGAGTAGTGGAGCCAGGCCCTTGGGATCGCCCCTTTTTTTTTCTTTTTTTTTTCGCCGACCGATCAACCGTTTCGAGTGGGCTTTTTCACAAGACCACTCGAGGTCTTTCGAGGAAACACTCGTGACAGGCAGGAGGATCTCATCTCTTCGAGAGTCCGCCAATCTGACACCTTTCGAAACTTTTTCGAAAGAACTGGTTTAGAAAGGCTGTGTGGCGAAGACACGGCCTCAATTTTGCGCGTCTTGAAAGCCTGTGTGGGGAGCCCCAAAGTTTGAGAACATGTCAGAGAGTTGGAGGCTCGCCACACAGGCTGTCGAAAACCAGGTTTTGGACAATTTTGCATGGCCACAGACTTTCGAAGAATTGCGGCTCAAAAAACTTTTGACAGGTGTCAGAATGGTCCTTTCAACAGCCGCCCTCCAGCAATTGTTTCCACCAGCCTGCAGGTGACTGAAATTCGACAGTGGCCCGCCGACCTTTCAAGAATTGCGTTCGAATTTGCGTTGTCAGGGACTGTTCCGTCAACTTCCGTGAAACCCGTCCACCTGGCCATGACCAGAAACCTTGCCCCTCGACAGCCTGTGTGGGGAAAGGGGGGGAAATTGTCAACTGCCCGACTATCGAAAATTTTCTGACACCTGTTGAAAATTTTTGACATTCGACAGCCTGTGTGGCGAGCCTCTTGGGCCTCGAAAGGCCTTTCAAATGGGCAACCTCTTCCCGCATGCCACAGCGGGGTTTTCAAAAGCCCGCAAGTGGTCTTGCGGAAAAGGTACTCCCAAAATGGAGTATTAGCAAAAGTTGAAAAAAAAAAAAAAAAGAAACGGGAGATTATGATGTTCGAGATAATGATGTCCGTATTGAAAGCCGGCCAGTATTTCAAAAGTCTGTGTGGCCAAGGGGGAGGGGGGGGGGGGGGGGGGGGTCTCTCAGCGAGCAGCCTTTCGAACGAAGTCTGACATCGTTTCGGAAAATGCCTTTATTCGAAAGGCTGTGTACACCAATCTTGAAACCGTGAAAAATTTGAAACTGTCAGACCATTTTCGACATCCATGGCTTCAACACAATGGCCACCTTCGCCACACAATATGTCGAAGACCCAGGATATAGGGTTGGGGGGGAGCGGGGGGGGGAGCGGGGGGGGAAGAGGGGGGGGAGAGGAAAGAATAAGACTCGAGATGTTGAGGCCGCTTCCTGACAGATGTTGAAATCTGCACATTTTTTCACAAGCTCCCTTCCGTGGTTCCGAATTTCGACCCACTGAAACGGCACTTGTAGAAAACTCTCTACTGACACATGTCAAGAAGATTAGGGGGAAAAAAAATTGACACCTTGTGTGGCTATTCACAAATGTCGAAAAACTAGTTTTGGACACTGGCGTGGCGAGGACCTAAGTCATGTGTTAAGGGAAAAGAAGAAAAAAAAGTGAAAGAAGGAATCATGATTTAACTGACCAGCCCCAGGTAATTCAGAATTACTTTTTAGGGTCTCGCTCCACGACTGTCCACTGCACAATTTTTCGGACAGTTGGTGGACAGTTGTCAGAGCGAAAAATTGTACAGCAGACAGTTGAAAATGCGACATCGCTCCACTTACTGTCCGCTGTCCACCTCTCAAATTTGTGGCTTCGTGGCTTCACTACCAGACACAGTGATAGCACTACAAGACAGGACGTCCATAGGGTTTTGTCCGCCCAAACTCCAGGTGCACTCTCCAAATTCGGGTCCTCACGGTGAGTCCCTTGAAGGACTTTCCGCGTAACGAATTTTGCAGGCTGGGAGCTGTACATTCACGGACAGTAGATTTTCGACGGGGTTTCTAAAAACTGTCCAAGCCATTTTGCACATGTACAGTGGACAGTAAGTGGAGCGAAGTACGACTGTCCGTTTTTGGACAGTGGACAGTAGTGGAGCGAGACCCTTATTCTGTTTGTCTGATTGCATATGGATATGAACACGGGTCTGTTGTTGAGTGGTTCATGCCACTTCATGGATGTACCAACTGAGCACGGCTCGATTGTCTACTACTAGTCTACTAGTATCTTCTCGGCAAAGTTTCTCGGAAGAATTCATTCATCGCTGATCCCAATCCTGGACATCTGACTCTGATCTGAGAGCAGCAATGTTGAAGTTCAATGAAGATTCAGGCAAAGTTTAACATGCATGCAATGAAGGTTCAGGCAAAGTTTAACATGCATGCAATGAAGATTCAGGCAAAGTTTGACATGCATGCAACTTTTGTTATGTCTCTTGGAGATTGCCAGCCCGCCAGGAGCTAGTACTAGGTGAGTACAACAGAGTAACTGTTTAGTTTGTCCATGACGAGGCCTGAAGTGCGCGAACTTCAAGAAGAAGTTAGTCGTTCGAATGGGATCAAGTCAGGTATCGCCTCAATTATTGCCTGAAGAGATTTCAAGTCTTTGAGGAAGGCACATCTGGATAGCCTTGCTGCTTTGATGACTTGTGAGCAAGACTGACATTCTCATGCAGTCTTGTTCTTGGTACAATGCCTGCAGGATCATGGAGGTTCATTCATCACAGCGTAAGGAGTGGGTATGACCTTTCGCAACGGCATATCTATAGGGAGACCACCGTAGATTCTGTTGCTATTGAACACGCCGAGACTGCTCCAATGCTCATTGACAGGTGACTGAGCTGGATTTAGTCATGCTTTTTTGCTTTTTTGCTTTTTTGCCAGTACCAAATTACTACCCATTAATACTTGAAAGAGAGTGGGACAGTCTAAGACTTTCGGTTTCGGAAAAAAATGGAATGCATTGGGTCTCTTCCCTGAGGGGCGGCTTTCATTATAATTGCGGGGCCATCATGCAGATATGGGTTTGTAATGGGCCTAATGGCATGGATGAGAGTGCCGTCTTGTGCTGAGTCATAGCCATTAGAAACACATAGCGGCCACTAGGTGTAGCTAACCATTACAAACGCATAGTATTACCAGGCTATAGCTGTCGTTCCCACGAGTGATATCTTACACACAAAAACCTACCGTCTTCACCCGAATAGAACGCCCGGTCATTATAGCCGTATATGGGGCAATTTTCAGTCTAGATACAGCGATAATGACTGGGCGTTGTATTCGGGTGAAGACGGTAGCCCAGGTAATATGCCATTAGAAACCCTAAACCCTCATCCCTTTACAGTGTTTACACCCTAAACCCTAACCATTAGAAGCCCTGAACCCTGAGTCATTCCTCCGAGTGCTCTTTCAACCTCCGGCTGAGTGATATCCATAGTTCATAAGATTTTTTTTTTCATCCTATGCCCTGTGTAACGGCTGAGCTTGGTGTGCGGATAAGTGTCCACTATGGTCAATGAAGATCACTAGCGGGGAAAAAAAAAAAGAAAAAAAAAAAAAGATGGATACCGGACGAAAACAGATGGATGGCTACAGGGATTGAAGAGGAATGCACAGACAGATCATGATCATGATTGAAGGCAAATCGAGAGATAACTGGGCATCCTAGATGGATGTAAGGTAAGCCTTAGGGCAAAGTCGATCGGTTTTCAGACCATGTACTACGAGAACAAGGTTACGCAGTAGTGTAAAACTTGAAGACAATGCAAAATCTGCCTCAAAAATGTTTTTTTTTTTCCTTCTGGATTGGAGCATGAGTTGTTTCCAGTGTCTGTTTCTGTGGCAAAGCATCATTTGGTTCTAACTTTCTAGTGTCTGTGTTTTTAGTGAGTGGCTGCTCTTTGTCAATGCGACGAAGTGTCTACTATGAGCGCTCTGTCTGTCATCCATGATGAATGATCCGCGACATCCCTCTGTCTGGCCCGGGCCATTCTGTTCTGCACTTGACCCTCCTCCTATTCCCCTCCCGGCCGTTGTTCTGTTTTGAATTTCTCAATAATTATTTTGCAGGGCAATTTCAAGTGCAATCTGTCATAGCAAGCCAGTTCTCATCGAGGTGTGCTCAAACTTAGCAAAGGCAGTGGTGCCCGCGCCTAATAGGTTTCCATTTCTTTCGACCCCGGCAAGCAGTACGCATGTACTGGAGAAAGCAGTGCAAGCGACAACACAGCTCTTGAAGGATGTGGTAAGCATTTAATTTACGCTCAGCATTTATTTTTCCCCATGGGGCGCATTCAGTTATCACCATCACTCCTGGTGCAGGACCACTTTGTGCCTGGAAATGCTTGTTCCTAGGAAGATGTTCATTCCTTGGCCACACCTACTGTCTTCCCCCGAACGCAACGCACCCTAATTTTGGCTGTATGGTCCCGGAAAGCTAGCTTGTATACATTCATAATCAGGGTGCGTTGTGTTCGGGGGAAGATGGTAGTAATATCTTCCCCCATTGGCCGCATTTATCACCATGATCACTCTGGACCATTTTGTGCCTGGCAGTGCTTGTTCCTAGTAGGAAGATGTTCATTCCTTGGCCATTCGACCCACTCCCGAAGGAACTGGCTTTTGATGGCAAGAGAAATAACATTACGATGTATGGATGGGAGGGGGAGGGGGATGGAAAAGAAGTTTTCGAAAAAATTTGAAAAACAAATATGCTATGCAGAAAAATAAACTGAAAAACTTCTGCCTCATGGGTCACATTCAAACTCTTTACCAAATTTGAAAAAAAAAAAAAATCATTTTACTTTTAGTAAAAATATTTAACCCAAAAACAAAAAAAAGTTAAAAAAACAAATTAAAATAACATCGCCTCAGGAGAATCAGTTTTTTATTTTTTGAAAATCGAAAACAAAGTCAACAAATTCGGAAAAATAATAAAATAAAATTGTGTTTTAGAGCTTGAAAGGATCTACGATGCCTTTTTTTTTTTTTTTTTTTTTTTTGAACATTTTTCAGGGCCCCCAAAAAAATCCTGAAAAAAGCCCCCGGTCATGCTCAGCTTCCATACTACTTAGTGTGATGGGGAAGTCTTCGGTGATGTATATCTATCGTGCCAGACTAATTTATTCTTCCTTCCTTTTTTTGCTTTGAAATTCCATGATGGATCATTAGCCTTATTGCTTTTGAAAGCTGTCACAGGCACGCGTGCTTCACTTATCCCGCCAAACTCTACGTTCTTCCCCCGAATACAACGTGCGGTCAGTATATTAGGTGTATTTGAGGCATCTTTCAGTCTAGATACAGCTATAATGAGCGTACAGCGTACGCTGTATTCGGGGGAAGAAGGAAGGTAGGATGTTATTTGAGGATATTCCAAAACTCTGATGTCATGTCCTTGTCTCAGGTTGCGGCTAGAGAGAATTCTTACATTCTCCCTTCCCCCCTCCTAACCTCCCTCCTCTCTCCCTTCTTTACAGGGAGTCCTGTACGCTGTCAGCCAAGTGGTCATTGGCCACATTTTTTCACTTCCTGCTGTCCAAAGTAGCAGCATCAACTCATTTCAGCATCTTCTCCTCTCATTTCATCACAGAGCATAGAGAGTCGAAAAGACGTGCGCCGACTCGAAGCTCGACAAAGGCTGACGAACCCGGTGTAACCAACCATGACCGAAAGAAGCATCGACGAGAAAGAGGAAAAAAGAAAAAGGAAAAAGAAAAAAGAAAAAAGAAAAAAGAAAAAGAAAAAGAAGAGGAGAAAGAAAAAAGAATAGGAGATGAAGAGAGGGAGAAAAAATAAGGTGAGGAGATGAGGTATGAGAGACGCTGGTACAAGTGGATAGCGCAAAAACAATCGTGCTTCCTTGAAATGTGAACATTAGTTGGAAGCAGAACTAGCGAAGCCTCCCGACATRTTTCGGCTGTGTCGCCAACACARCCTTCATCASGGGAGTTTGCGCTTACCAGCCTTTCGAACCAGTAGAGAATATATACTAAAACAATGATCTCTAAACGATCCATTTCCCCAAAACTGCACACAGTGACAAGCTGATTCCTCCGTACGGGTGAGCTGAAAGAGCCAAAGAGAGCAAGAGAAGAGAGAGAGAGAGAGAGAGAAACAAGAGAGGGAGACAGAGAGAGAGAGAAAGAGAGAGAGAGAGAGAGAGAGAGAGAGAGAGAGAGAGAGAGAGAGAGAGAGAGAGAGAGAGGGAGAGAGAAAGGGCGAGAGAGAGAGAGAGAGAGAGAGAGAGAGAGAGAGACAAGAAAAGTGATGTCATCGTCGATATGAGNAGAGAGAGAGAGAGAGAGAGAGAGAGAGAGAGAGAGAGAGAGAGAGAGGGAGAGAGAAAGGGCAAGAGGCAGATGGGAGAAGAGACAAGAAAAGTGATGTCATCGTCGATATGAGTAGGAAAAAGAGATATGACGCAAGATGCAGGAAGCGGGACTGTAGAACGAGACAAGAAGGTCGACGCCAGAAAACATTCACAGCGCAGCCAGGAAAGAGCGGGAAGAAAAACGTGGAGGCATGCACACAGTACTTCCTGTTAGCAGACACACCGTGAATCCAATAAGCAGTGAGTGATGAAGAAGGTTGCGTTGTGTCAAGGAGATATGTCGATCCCATCCCGCACGTCAATATTGTCGCCATCAGCAGAAAACGATATTCACCTCGTGTCCTGGTGTCGGTAGCGCCTAGGTAGTGACAAATCCCGCAGCTGTCATTTTTCATAGACCAGGGCCGTATTCCATTACCCCTTCACGGAGGATACGGACCCAACCGCCCCAGCACCCAAATTTTTTTTCCAGAGAACTCGTCAGCGGCCGTGTTCCATTACCCCTTCTCGGAGGATACGGACCCAACCATCCCAGCACCCAAGATTTTTTGCAGAGAACTTGTCAGCGGCCTTCAAAAAAATCTTCGCAGGAAACCCTTTAAAGCCTTAATTTTCTCCTAAAAGAGAAGCATCACAGCCCGCTTTCTAGAGGAGCATCAGATCCTTCAGTATTCTGTTCATCTTGTTCATCAAGTTGTGCATTTGTTTTGCTCTGCAGAAAAATGCAGTGGTGATTGTGGGATCTCAAGTACGAGCTGCAACAGCAGAGGACGCAGTGCTACGTCTCGTCCAAGCTTTAGGATGCACTGCTGCATCTATGGCAGATTCAAGAGGAGTCTTTCCAGAGGATCACTCTTCCTACATTGGACTTTACATGGGAAAGGCAAGGGCAACTAACGATGTTGTTGTTTGTTTGTTTGTTTTTTTTTTTTTTTTTTTTTTGTGACATTTCATAATTATCATGTGCATGTCATCTTATGTTATCCTCACGCGACACAATGTATGGAATTCTGAAGTTGCAGAAACATTACTGAAATCAGTGAAATGTTTACTAGGCCACTTTGAATCCCCCCATTGGAAGTGCAAGGGTCTTCCTCAGTCCATCCAGCACAGGCTGCCAAAACAGGGTGGGATGGGTACCATCATAACGACCATCCAACTGGCGTGAGGGAGGCCCTTAATATGCCAGTGCCCTCTCCTACACTGCCTTATGGGTACCTTTCAGTATAATTTGATACTGTGGTCGGCCATAGGGCACCCCAGGGCCGAGGGGAGGGCAGTACTAGTACCTTCCTCACTAAGTCTTTCAGTTGCATAGAAAGCAGAGCTGCAGAGGTGTGGCAAAGTAGGTTTTTAGGGGATGGCAGGTTAAGAGTCTTAAGAGTAAGACACACTCGTAATCATAGGTCCGTCCATAGGGACTCGCTAGCATGGCACGTTTCTTTTACTCCCTTTTGTAATAGTCATGTGCCTGTCTTTGTGCCGAGTACTACGACTCCATGGCAGCTCTGAGCTCTGTGCTTGTGCCTCGTCCCCTGTCTTCTCCTTTGAATTGCTGGCTCTTTCCCCAGACTGTGTCTGAATTTCTGAAAATGCATGTGTCTTAGTATGTCTGCTTGCGCTTTCGTGCTTCTAAATCGCCATAATGATTTGGCCTTCACATCCGAACAATGTCATGCATCTCCCTTTCATTTCATCACACTCATATAATGTGTAAACAGACAGTTTAACTCTGCTAAGATCCCGGAATGCCTCCCACCAATGCGCATATTATGCCATTACGGTAAAACCGTAATTGTTGTCGACGATTCTTTTTTAAGTTTTTTTTTTAATGAGATCTGGTACAGTAACTAAGCAATAGAGCATGAATGGCGATCAGTTTCACTGTTGTTAAGCGCGCAGGGTTGTCGAGCCCCGCCCCCGGGGCCCCGGCGGGGGTCCAGGGGTCCGGGGGTCCGGGGGTGGGCACCCCCAACCCCGGCTCCGGAACCGCCCCCCCCAAAAAACAAAAAAAAAAAATCAAAAAAAATAAATAAATAATAGTGGGGGGTGCACAGCGAGAGCGCGCACCCCGTGGGCTAAACCCCAAAAATGGGGTTTTGTGGCCCACCCGAAGCCCCCCGGGGCCACACCCACCACTGGGGGGACCGGGGTAGCTGTGGGTGCGGGGCTGGGGGCGGGGCCAACAGCCGGCGGGGGCGGGGTTGAGTGCTTGCAGGGGCGGGGG